CGAGATCTTGCCCTGTGGAGGGCCGCTTCGGGAACAGAAGCCCCGTTGAGAGTCCCAGGTGTTTCGACCCATTGCCCTGGACTGGTTTTCAGAGGCGAAGAATAGCGAAAGAACTCCCGCCGCCTTTTTGTTACGAGGCGAGGTGGTCCTCACGTGGGGCGTCCTCAAGCATGTGCGCTTGCGGAGGCATGCCCGGCCTCCGCGTGCGTCGAGCACCGACGCGGCCCCACCCTTGGTGCGCAAGTCCAGGCGATCGACATGTTCCATCCGAACCGCTTCTCCAATGTCAGCTGGCTCGGCACGGCTGCCGACGACGCCCGCATCGACCTGGCCCGCGCGCCTCTCTGCCGAGGGGGAGCAGGGGAAGGAGCGGCCAGACGGCGCAGACCGAATTTCTCGGAGGGAGCTGGCCGCATTGCCCGCGCGGGATGGGCACAGGATGCCACGGTCGGGGGGAGCTCGGGCCACCGGGGACAGAGACTTTCTGCTGGGGGGGACCAGAGATTTTTTTTGAGGGGGGGTCCCGGCTTCGCTCGGGCCACTGGGAGGGGATGAGTGGAGAGCGGGCGGGCCCGCTGGCAGCCCTGGAGGGCTGCCGCGGCCGAGGGGCGCCGCTCGCAGGGGCGGAGGAGGACGTGGCCGTGGGAGGCCTCTGCCTTGTCGCGGGGGGCGGCTCGAGGGGAAGTCGTGCCCGTCTCTGCGAGGGTATGGAGTGCGGTGGAGGCGTTTGTTAAGGAATGGGCCCGCGGAGGCGCCAGACCCCGGAGGATTCCTCATCCAATGAGGGCGGCGGTGATATCCATGGCTGATCCGCGATTGGAGTTCCACTCTCTTCCAGGCCCTGGATTCCTTATCTAAGGGTTCCTTATCCAACGCCCCCACCGTATCGAGCTATCCGACGCAGTCGCTGAAAGAAGGACGAAAGACCGCGGTGACGCTGCTCAGCCTTGCTAAGCTGCTTCGGCCACAGGCCCGCCGTCACCCGACTCGGGTGCACGCGACGGTGAAGCTCCGGGAGAAGAGGGGGGGAAGAGGGGGACGGGAGGGTGGTGGGCACTTTGTGGGCCCCAGAAACGGCAGGGCTGTTTTTTCACCATTTCCAAGAAAATGCCCCTTGAAAATGGAAGCGGCAAAAAGAAACGGCGACCAGAAACGGCAAAAAAAACGGCTCCAGGATTGGACCCGGAGCCGGAACCGGTCCAAAAACGGGGACGGAACCAAAAAACAAACAGCGTCGGAACCGGCAAAAAGACGGCAAAACGGAGCCCGTACAAAAAACGGCCTTGTCGTTTCCTGGGCCCACTAAGGGCGGGCGAAGGATCATCCAGGAGCTCGCGAGGGGGGGCCTCCAGGTGGGGGAGATGGGCGGGCTCCGGTGATCTCGAGCCAGGGGCCGAGGCAGGGGACCGCGGCGGAGAGCGGGGCGGGCGGGTGGCGCCCCTCCACCCCGGGGGTGGGCCTTCTCCTCCTTCTCCTCCTCCTCCTCCTCCTCCTCCTCCTCCTCCTGCAGCGGGCCGTGGCCCCGAGCCTGATGTCTGTGTGTTGTGTGTGTTGTGTGTTGTGTGTTGTGTGTGTTGTGAGTGTTGTGTGTTGTGTGCGTTGTGTGTACGTGTGTATGTGTTGTGTGTGTTGAGTGTTGTGTGTGTTGTGTGTGCATGTGTGTTGCGTGTGTTTGTTGTGTGTTGTGTGTGTTGTGTGTGTGTTGTGTGTGTTGTGTGTGCGTGTGTATGTTGTGTGTTGTGTGTTGTGTGAATGCGTGTGTGTGTGCGTGTGTGTGTGTTGTGTTGTGTGTTGTGTGTTGTGTGTTGTGTGTTGTGTGTTGTGTGTTGTGTGTTGTGTATGTTGTGTGTGTGCGTGTGTGTGTGTTGTGTGTGTTGTGTTTGTTGTGTGTTCGTGTGTGTGTGTGTGTGCTGTGTGTGTGTTGTGTGTGCTTTGTGTGTTGTGTGTGTTGTGTGTGTTGTGTGTGTGCGTTGTGTGTGTGTGTTGTGCGTCTGCGTCTGCGTCTGCGTCTGCGTCTGCGTCTGCGTCTGCGTGTGTGTGCGTCTGCGTCTGCGTCTGCGTCCGCGTCCGCGTCTGCGTCCGCGTCCGCGTCTGCGTCTGCGTCTGCGTCTGCGTCCGCCTCTGCGTCTGCGCCTGCGTCTGCGTCTGCGTCTGCGTCTGCGTCTGCGTCTGCGTCTGCGTCTGCGTCTGCGTCCGCGTCTGCGTCCGCGTCCGCGTCTGCGTCTGCGTCTGCGTCTGCGTCCGCGTCTGCGTCCGCGTCTGCGTCTGCGTCTGCGTCTGCGTCTGCGTCTGCGTCTGCGTCTGCGTCTGCGTCTGCGTCTGCGACTGCGTCTGCGTCTGCGTCTGCGTCTGCGTCTGCGTCTGCGTCTGCGTCTGCGTCTGCGTCTGCGTCTGCGTCTGCGTCTGCGTCTGCGTCCTGCGTCTGCGTCTGCGTCTGCGTCTGCGTCTGCGTCTGCGTCTGCGTGTGTGCGTGCGTGAGTGCGTGCGTGTGTGCGTGCGTGTGTGCGTGTGTGTGTGTGCGTGTGTGCGCGTGTGTGTGCGTGTGTGTGTGCGTGTGTGTGTGCGTGTGCGTGAATGTGCGTGTGTGCGTGTATGCGTGTATGTGCGCGTGCGTGCGTGTGTGTGTGTGTGTGTGGGTGTGTGTGCGTGTTGGACGGTGCGTGCGTGTGTGGGACGGTGTGGGTGGGGGGGTGGGGGGTAATGGGGGGTGGGGGGTGTGGGGTGTGTGGGGGGTGTGGGGGTGTGGGGGTGTGGGGGGTGGTGGGTGTGGGTGTGGTGGTGTGTGTTGTGTGGGGGTGTGTGTGTGTGTGGAGTGTGTACTTGGGTTGTGGGTTGTGTGGTGTGTGGGTGTGGTGGGTGGGGTGGGTGTGTGGTGGGTGGGTGGTGGGCGGGTGGGGCGGGGTGGGCGTGGTTGGGCGGTGGGCGGGGTGGGCGGGTGGGTGGGTGGGTGGGCGTGTGGGCGGGTGGGCGGGTGGGCGGGGTGGGCGGGTGGGGCGGTGGGGAGGGTGGGTGGGTGGGTGGGTGGGTGGGTGGGTGGGTGGGTGGGGGTGTGGGGGTGTGGGGGTGTGGGGGTATGGGGGTATGGGTGTGTGTGTGGGTGTGGGGGTGTGTGGGTGGGTGTGGGTGGGTGTGGGTGGGTGTGGGTGGGTGTGGGTGGGTGTGGGTGGGTGCGGGTGGGTGTGTGTTTGTGGGTGGGTGTGTGTGTGTGTACCGCCAGCACGGCCGCGGCGGCGCGTGGCCGCCGTGTGCTCGAGCGCGGGGCGCGCCATCCCGTGGCCTCGGGCGTGACCGCTCGTGACGGCGACGACGACGACGACGACGACGACGGCGGCGGCGACGACGCCGACGACGGCGGCGGCGGCGACGACGACGACGGCGACGGCGGCGGCGGCGGCGGCGACGACGGCGATGGCGGCGGCGTCAATGGCGGGGAGCGCGTGGCGGGGTTCCTGCTCGTGCGGCGCTGCGTGGACGCAGCGGCGACGCCGGCGCGGGCGTTCAACGGTTTGAGTTCCACCAGCTGCCTGCACGTCGGCCAGTCTGGAAGGATCTCTCTGACGTCGGAGGGCAGCGACCGGGTCAGGACTGAGCGGTCCGAGCGGTGTCAGAAGCCAGCGCCCACGTCATCGCGACGTGCGTCTGCCGCAAGGCAGCTGCAGGGGCGCGCAGGCGGTCGCGCTTCGCGGCGTGGGCCCACAGAGGTGTTCCTCTCAAGGGCGCCGTCAAAAGGCGCCAGAATTAGCAGGTCATGTCGGTCCTCTCGGCGCGACGGGCGAATCTGGGTGACCCAGATTCTGCCATGTGTTGAAGAAAGTCGCTCATACTTGCGTTGGCTCGTTGGCTCCTGGGCTCCAGAGTAGAATTAGCATGGACCGATCTTGCCGCCGAGCCTGCCGCGACTGGCCAGGCCGTTGCCAGCCCAGCCACCGAGGCCGATTGGTCCAGCTGCAACGCGGACGGCACGTGTGACAATCGCGTGGGGTGCGACGGGGCGTGCGACACGGTGTTGCAGTCGGCCCTGCTGGACATGGACGGCAGCTTGCTGGGCACCGGGGTCGCACCTGGGGCCGAAATCTTGCCCGCTCCCCCTCCCCGTCCGACCTAGTTCTAAAGGAAATCCAGACATCGATTCCAGGCCTAGGCTCGCGGCTCCCAAAGCTCGCTCGTTGATGTTTCTTGGCCTTCCAGAGATTGGTACAGTTCGAAGAGCAAAACAACATGAACATAAACGTTCGGAGGTCCACGCGGATGGATTGGATCCGCGCTGGACCCACTTTTCTTGACGCGCGAAGCGCACAGGGGACGGCGCCGGAGGCGCCGCTAGGGGGGATCCAGCACCGACCCGAGAAATCTGCGCGGACCTCCGAAAGTCTATGTCTATCTCGTTGTCTGTGACTCTGACAGTTCCCGAAGCTCCTGAGCAGAGAGAGGCACCGAGCGCAGCTGACAGTACGCTCACTGGGCCCCCCCTGCGCCCAGGTGGCGTACAGCGCAGCGGCGCGAAGGCCCGCAACGCTCCGCACAGCAGCCCACTCGACAGACCGCGCGGTTATCCCGTGTGTTGCAAGCTGCCGCTTCGTTGTCCAACACCCTCCTTGGTGATCCAGTGGCCGCCAATTCGCAGCAGACTGCTCGCGCTTCAGTTTGCCTCGAGTTGAGTTGCTTCCTCGGTTTTCTGGTTGCTGCACGGTCCGCTTGGATTTACGGTTCTTCCTTCACACCACCCATCGCCGCACTTGACAGTGTGCACGGTTTGTGCACTGTGCCTTCGGCAAAGCTCGATCGCAATTGGCACTTCCTTCAGCCGTCCGCGCCTGGTGATCATCTGCGCCGCCGACTCAAAATTTGCAAGCTGCAGCTGGCACGATGGTCATGAACAGCCCGTGCTGTGGAGGGATACGCAATGTCCCTCGTGCTTCGTATTCCGGCCCTCCACCCTAGAGTGCGCTTCGTTCGAGGCATCCCCACAGGGCCCTGGGACGTCGGCGGAAAGGTTGACCCGTGGGTTAGTGGCCATGTTTCGATTGGGCAGGCTTTCGCGAAGGTTGGGGCCCCTGAGATCAACAGAGCATGGGCGCCTGCTTGGCCTGGTTATCGCATGTAGTTCATCCAGAAGTTGGCCTGGTCCAGGATGTGAGCTCCAAAGTTTTTCATATGAGAGCATCGTCTCCATACTTTTGCCGATCGGGCACATTTCCTCCAACCCTTTTTTTGTGGTTACGTGTTCGTTCTAAAAAAATTGTGAGCAGCCGCCCCCCCCCCGCAACAACAGCATACTTCCGTCTCCTCCAGTGCCCCTCCTTCCTTCCCAACCCTCATCATCATTCGATCTTCGTAATGGACAGAGCCCCAAAATAGCTTCGCTTGCCCATCCTCGTCCTCCTGCTCCTCCTCTTCTTACGACTCTTTCCGCCGCGTTCAGCCTCATCTTTTCTTCCCTGTCTCCCTCCCTCTTCTCTGTTCGCGTCCTCCTGCCAGGCGTGTACCTGTCGCGCACTGTCCCGCGCTCGGGGGCGCCCAGCCGAGTGGTGACACTGCAGGCCCACATGGGGCCTTGCCATCCCTTGCTGCTGCGTGCAAACGTCGCAACGTCCCTGCGCCCCTGGATGTCCGGCGAGCCGTCTGTTTTGTCAACAAGGCGTCGGCGCCGGCGATCGCGCGGCGTGCCCGAGGCCTAAATTGCGAGTCCCGCTTAAGGCGAAACAGAATCCATATGTCAGTCAGCGTGTGGACCCCAAACCGTTCGTTGTTGCATCGTGGAGGTGAAAGCTATGCGGCGCAAGTTAAGTGGTGAAAGCTATGTCGTGTAAGCTATGCGGTGTGAGTTCTGGAGATGGAGCTTCGGCGGCGTAAGCTGCGCTGTGCGAGCTGGAGGTGCCAGCCGTGGGGCGTAAGCTCTGGGGTGTGCGCTATGCTGTGCAGGATGTGCGGTGTGACCTATGTGGGTCGCCCGCGAGGCGGCAACGTGTCGCAATCCCGGCATAGCCCCCAAGCGCGGGGTGCCCACGAGGCGGCGCTGGCGACAAAGTGGCGAAACCTCGGCACACACCCCGAGCGCGGGTTCGCCCACGAGGCGGCACGGGCACTCGGCATAACCCTCATGCGCGGGGCGCCCACGAGGCGGCAAGGCGGCGCAACCTCGGCACACCTCCCCAGGCGCGGGGCGCCCACGAGGCGCCCACGAGGCGGCAATGGCCCGCAACGTGGCGAGCATCTCGAATACCCAACCGATCACGTAACGAAAAAGACACACGCGCGCGCACACACACGCACACACACACACACACACACACACACACACACACACACACACACACACACACACACACACACACACACACACCACACACACACCACACACACACACACCACACACACCACACACCACACACACACACACACACGCACACCACACACACACACCCACACGCAGACACACCACTGAACCACACACACAACAACAACACACACACACACCTCACGATGCGGCAACGCCGCGGCACCGGCTGCAACGACGGCACGTAGCGAAACTCGTCGCATCCCCACACGGTGTCGGCTCACGACGGTACGGAGCGGCAACTTGGCGAAGCCCTCGGCGGCAATGCGCACATCGCGAATGAGGCGCCGAGGTGCCAACGTGCGCGACGTCATGAATGCCCCACAACAGCAACGGTCGGCAAGACGTGCGGATCTTCGGCAAAACCGTCCACTGGCTGCAACGGGCGGCAACGTGTGGAGGATCCTCGGCATACCGTCCAATCCTGTCGGGCACAACCAACAGGAGGCTTCGTTGCGAAGGACTGTTTGGGAAGCCACTCCTGCTCAAAAAGGGTTGATTTCAGCCTACACAGAGGCTGGATTCCATCCTGGAGGTAGCCCCGCTCTGAGTCCGAGCCCTTCTTTTGCGAAAAAGTCAGAGTTTGTTACACCGCAGGGCAAAATTAAAACAGGACCAGTTCTGGATGCTGCCAGGCTTGCTATGTTCGCCACTCTCCTGCGACCTCCGGGGGGATCCAGCGCCGTGCCCAGGCACGCAGGTCAAAACAGACATCGCCCTCCCATTGCTTCATCCAAGGAGAGGAGGAGGAGGAGGAAGAAGAGGACGAGTTGGAGGAGGACGAGCAGGGGGGCGAAGAGCAGCCTTCCAGTACCCCGGCGTGGTTTGCGCGTCGCGCTTCCTCGTTCCACCCCGACCTTCCCTCCCTCCTCTTGCTCCCCACGATTTTCCCATCCACCTCCTCCTCCTCATCCTGCCTCCATCCCTCCGCCTGATTGGGGTCGAGGCCCGTTCCGAGTCGGTGTAGGCGGGGAGGGATTGACCTGGCATGCAACGCTGTGCCTCCTGCCTCCATCCCTCTTCCTCTCACAAACCTCCTTCCCGTCGTTCCTCCAGGCGTGTCGTCGGGGCGGGCCGGACGGGTCGCCTGCGACTGTCTCGCCCATTATAATCGTGAAAGTTGGAATGACCACCGGCTGCACAGACGGAGGGCGGGTCGTCTACAATGTTTTTCGCCATACGGGCCTCGGAAAACACAGCGAACATTCATGCCACATTCATCTGTCGACGCCGCCCTCCTCCCTCCAATGTTCAAAGTTGGCGGGACCGCAGTCTCCCCCGCGCGTGCCATTTTTGAGTTGGGGGGGGAGGGGGGGAGCATTCAGTAATTGTTTCCTTCTACCGTTAGAGCCGTGAACATGTGCATCAAAGAGTTCCAGAAATTACCAGATTCGAGCGCGGCTCCTTTGCAACAAGGAGGCCGCCACCCTGGCGTAGCGCACATGCGTTCTTGACGTCCTCAAGAGCTGCACGGATGGAGGGCGATTATGTTTCGACATTGGCTTCTCGCTTGAAGCATCTTTAGGTTTCCTCCCTTCTCATTCTCCTTCGCCTCCATCCGCCTCCTTTTCCGTCATTATTCATCTTCCCTTCACTCCCGCTTCATCTTCCATGTCCTCATCATCCTTCGTCCCAATCTTTCCTTCTCTTTCCTTCTCCTCCTCCTCCTCCTCCTCCTCCTCCTCCTGCTCCTCCTCCTCCTCCTCCTCCTATTCATCCTCATCCTCCTCATCATCATCATCATCTCTCCCTCCCCTCCTGGCTACTCATCCCTCTTCGTTGCCCCATCATCATCACCACCACCATCATCATCAGCCGCATCATCATCATCATCATCATCATCATCATCATCATCATCATCATCATCATCATCATCAGCAGCAGCATCAGCAGCAGCAGCAGCCGCGTCATAACCATCATCATAATTATCACCGTAGTCATCATTATCACCACCACCATCATCATCGCCATCACCGTCATCATGAACACCATCGTCATCGTCATCATCACGATCATCACCATCGTTATCGACATCGTCGCCCTCGTCATCGTTTTCGTCCTCATCATCAGCATTCTCCTTCCTGCCCTCCCGTCTTCCTGGCTCCAGCTCTGGCTCACCCTCCCCCTTGTGCTGCCGATCGTCTTGTGCGGGTTGGGTCTCGCCCCTGGCCGATGGGGCCCGGCGACGGTCTCGGATCTCCCAGTGCTGCTCCCATCATGCGCGGTGCGGCGGCACAGTCAACCCGCATAGGAAGGATGGGCAACCTTCCCCAGGGTACCCTTGCGTCCTGGCCCCTTCAAGCCCATCCTTCGCGACGTGCGCCAGCCAGCCTCGCTCGAAGAACGTCCACGTGGCCGTCCAAGGCCCTTGCATCGTTACCGCGCATCCCTCTCATACGGGTCGACCAGCCGACCGCGCGCGTAGCTCTCAACACGGCCCGACGGAGAGTACAGTCCGGGCGACGCTCGGGGAGCGCCACGGGGCTTCGGCTCCCGAGGCGGCCCGGTGCCGACGCACGAAGCGTGCGCTGGCCGACCGACCCACTCCTCCTCCTCCTCCTCCTCCTCCTCCTCCTCCTCCTCCTCCTCCTCCTCCTCCTCCTCCTCCTCCTCCTCCTCCTCCTCCTCCTCCTGGGCGCGGTGGCCACTTCTCGGAGGAGAAAGAGGTACCCACACAGCTACCCTCCCCTCGTTTTCCCCTGTTTGGGCCTCGTGGGAGGCCCTCGTCGCCACCGCTAGATGCGCCCCGAAATTTTGGTCCGGTAGCGATACCTTCTGGCAACCCCAGCCGCATCCGCAGAAGCTATCTCCACGCCATGGCACAAAAAAATTAGCCTGACGAAGGACCCAACCATATGCAGTTGCGAGTACCGCATTCTGGGTACCGGTTTCGGTGGAGCTCCCTATGGGGCCACGAAGCGCTGTCCTGGGTGGCGTTGACGCATGCGGCCTGTGCCACTGGAGCCTTCGGAAGAGATCTTTATGGGGCCACGAAACGCTGTCTTGGGTGGCGTTGACGCATGCGGCCTGTGCCACTGGAGCCTTCGGTGGGGCTCCCTGTGGGGCCACGAGGCGCTGTCCTGGGTGGCGTTGACGCATGCGGCCTGTGCCACTGGAGCCTTCGGTGGAGGTTCCTGTTTGACCACGGAGCGCTGTCCTGGGTGGCGTTGACGCATGCGGCCTGTGCTACTGGAGCCTTCTGTGGAGCTTCCTTTTCGGCCACGAAGCGCTGACCTGGGTGGCGTTGACGCATGCGGCCTGTGCCACTGGAGCCTTCGGTTGAGCTCCCTGTGGGGCCACGGAGCGCTGTCTTGGGTGGAGTTGACGCATGCGGCCTGTGCCACTGGAGCCTTCGGTGGGGCTCCCTGTGGGGCCACGAAGCGCTGTCCTTTGTGGCGTTGACGCATGCGGCCTGTGCCACTGGAGCCTTCGGTGGAGGTTCCTGTTTGACCACGGAGCGCTGTCCTGGGTGGCGTTGACGCATGCGGCCTGTGCTACGGAGCTTCGGTGGAGCTTTCCTTTCGGCCACGAAGCGCTGACCTGGGTGGCGTTGACGCATGCGGCCTGTCCACTGGAGCCTTCGGTTGAGCTCCCTGTGGGGCCACGGAGCGCTGTCTTGGGTGGAGTTGACGCATGCGGCCTGTGCCACTGGAGCCTTCGGTGGAGCTTCCCTGTGGAGCCACGAAAGCGCTGTCCTGGGTGGCGTTGACGCATGCAGCCTGTGCCACTGGAGCCTTCGGTAGAGCTCCCTGCGGGGCCACGAAACGCTGTCCTGGGTGGCGTTGACGCATGCGGCCTGTGCCACTGGAGCCTTCGGTTGAGCTCCCTGTGGGGCCACGGAGCGCTGTCTGGGTGGCGTTGACGCATGCGGCCTGTGCTACTGGAGCCTTCGGTGGCGCTCCCTGTGGGGCCACGAAGCGCTGTCCTGGGTGGCGTTGACGCATGCGGACTGTGCCACTGGAGCCTTCGGTGGAGCTCCCTGTGGGGCCACGGAGCGCTGTCTGGGTGGCGTTGACGCATGCGGCCTGTGCTACTGGAGCCTTCGGTGGCGCTCCCTGTGGGGCCACGGAGCGCTGTCCTGGGTGGCGTTGACGCATGCGGCCTGTGCTACTGGAGCCTTCGGTGGAGCTTCCCTGTGGGGCCACGAAGCGCTGTCCTGGGTGGCGTTGACGCATGCGGCCTGTGCCACTGGAACCTTCGGTAGAGCTCCCTGCGGGGCCACGAAACGCTGTCCTGGGCGGCGTTGACGTATGCGGCCTGTGCCACTGGAACCTTCGGTGGAGCTTCCCTGTGGGGCCACGGAGCGCTGCCCTGGGCGGCGTTGACGCCACTGGAGCCTTCGGTGGAGCTTCCTTTTCGGCCACGAAGCGTTGTCCTGGGTGGCGTTGACGCATGCGGACTGTGCCACTGGAGCCGTCGGTGGCGCTCCCTGTGGGGCCACGAAGCGCTGTCCTGGGTGGCGTTGACGCATACGGCCTGTGCCACTGGAGCCTTCGGTGGAGCTTCCCTGTGGGGCCACGGAGCGCTGTCCTGGGTGGCGTTGACGCATGCGGCCTGTGGAGGAAGAGGAGGAGGGGGAGGAGGAGGAGAAGGAGGGGAGGAGAGGAGAGGAGAGGAGAGGAGAGGAGAGGAGAGGAGAGGAGAGGAGAGGAGGGGCGCGGGGCGCTGTCTTTTTTTTTGAACGAGGACCCAACACCACAGGATGGTTGGGGAAAAAACGGGTCGAGTTTAGGAAGAAAGAAATTGAATGCTTGGCCGAGGGCCATCCTGGGCCAAAGGGCGGTGCATGGACCCACTTGGCTTCGATCAGGTGCGTGTAGACGCCATGCCAGGGCCCAGGGTGCCCCGAGCCAGGCAAGGTGGCAGTGTGCCGATGCATTCTGCCTAATGCGGGCAGCTTCTCGTGGACCTATTCCTCCTCCCTGCCGTCCTCTTTCTTCCGAGTCCCTTTAGCCCCTTACAGTTGGCAGAAGGCGTGCCAAGAGCTAGAAGAGCGCTGTGTTCAGCACCATGTCAAGCCCTACCCTCCTGAGTCCGACTAGCACCCGAAGAGATCAGACCAGGAAAAGGCAGGCTCCTCCACGTCCGACGCTCCTCGCAGAGGTCGAGGGCTCGGCGGTGACGAGCCTGAACCCCGACCTCGCGACGAGCTCCTGCGAAGAGCGCCCCGGCCACTTCGCCTGCCCGGACAGCCGCGGGGTGGGGGGGGACACAATGGTTCTCGGGAGCGGCAATTGCGGCAAAGAGAGGGGGGTGATGACTAGGGGGGGGGATATCATGGCGCGGGCCATGATATTTCCCCAGATCTCATGGCACCTCTTCTTGTTCCATTACGTCCCTGGCCCCCCCGCTGGGCCGCGCACATGCCGCCGGCCATGATTTGCACCCCCCCCCTCTTGGACACCCCCCTTTTTGCCGCCCCCGAAATGGTTCACAGACAGGATGCACGGCGTCGCCGCTGTCGGCTTTCCGGGTGGTTCGTGCCCGCGTCTGTGCGCTTTGTGGGGTGGGACGAGGGGAAGCGGATTTGCTATCCCGTCTCATTTTGCTGGACCCTGGACGGGCATCGTGGTCTTGTGCTCCGAGGCTGTTTTCATGAAAAAACGCACAGGATGCACGGCGGAGGCGCAGAGAGCATTGGGGAAGGTGGTGCTCCCAGGAGCGGCATGAGAGTTTGGGCAGCGCGGCCAGGCGACGATGCAGCGCCCCGGGGGTGTCGCAGCGCCCCACTGGGAAGCGGGCGATTAGAGAAAGATGCTCGATTCCTCGTCTTCGCCGTCGAGACCGCCAGGCCACAGCCAGCAACCCAGACGAGGAAGGATTGCTTTATGTCAAAAAGTATCCACATACTTCGATGTGTGTATATGTCAGAATAAATCAATAAACAAAGAAGCACATAAACGTTTTTGTTGAATATCAAACCAGATGCCCATATTGCTTTTGTTTGTACCGCTTGGTGGCAAGACGTCTGTGTCCACATCTGCAGCGCAGGAGTGATTCGAGCACCTCGTCGGTCTTCGCCTGGCCCTCCCGCTACCCCCGTCGGTTTCAGGCCTGGCCTGCCTCGCGTCGCAAGGGACAAGCTCAGGAGGCTCGTGCCTGCTGATGGCCACATGGACTCCTCCTTGGACATCTTTGGTTGGGGCTCGACTCGGCACGGCCACCGCAGTCAAGACGCTGACATAAGGACAAGTGTGGATTCGGGAGGTGCTCTGGTTAACGGCCCGCTCCTCAGATCCAGGTCGGGGAATATGTTCGTGGCCGAGGCTCGACGTGGCCAGAAAAGCCTCTTCGTTCATTACCAGGCGCGCCTTCAGGCAGCAAGATGGCTGCATGGCCGCTTGGAATTGGCCACTCAGGATCTCGGGGACCCTGCTGAAGGCTCCTGCGGTGTGTGCTGGCCTGGGAATCTCAGGGGGCCGTTTGTGTTGGCATCATGTTGGCGCTCGTCTTTTCCCGAATTGGCCACTCGGGATCTAGGGGACCCCGCTGAAGGCTCCTGCGGTGTGTGCCGGCCTGGGACTCTCAGGGGGCCGTCTGGGTTGGCATCATGTCGGCGCTCGTCTTCTCCCGAAGCAGCAGGGTGAGCGCGATCGGGATGGGCTGGGGGAGGGCTGGGGGAGCAGAGGAGACGGTCCTGCGGGGGATGTACGGCGAGGGCGTTGCACACGCGGCTGCTCTCCTCAGACGTCACCCCTCGGCGTGCCGCGCCGCGTGCGCAGAGTGACGAGCCGCTCGGCCTTGCTCCTCCCCTCCCGCGCACGGCTGCGGCGAAAGTGGCGCGGTCCAGGAGGAGGAGGAGGAGGAGGAGGAGGAGGAGGAGGAGGGGAAGGAGGAGGGGGAGGAGGGAGGAGGGGAGGAGGAGGAGGAGGAGGAGGAATAGGAGGGCTTGCACGAGGGTCCAGAGCCACCCTGGCGCATCGGAGGGGGCCCCTTCCGCGCTGCGTGCGCGGGCGCTCCCCCCTTCGGAGGGCCCCCCCGCCGGGCACGGGGCTCGTGCTCGTGGCTCGGCATCGGTTGACCGATCCCCTCCTCCTCCCCCTCCTCCTCCTCCTCCTCCTCCTCCTCCTCCCCTCCTCCTCTCTCCTCCTCCACCTTCTCTCCTCCTCCTCCTCTCCTCCTCCTCCTCCTCCTCCTCCTCCGCCTCACTCCTCTTCCACCTCCTCCTCCTCCTCATACCCCTTCTCTCCTCCCTCCTCTCCTCCTCCTCCTCCTCCTCCTTCTCCTCCTCTTCCTCCTCCTCCTCCTCCTTTTTCGAGGCCCCCGCCAAGTGACCACCCCAGTTGGGGAAGCACCCCCCGAAGCCCGAAGGGAGCGGCCTATATCCCCATCTGAGGCGTTCCAGAGCCTTGCCTTCGAGGATAGAAAGAGTTGTCAGCCCTTCCGCCGCGGAAGGCGGCGGAAGGTCGGCGCAAGTAAAACGAGGCCGCCTCCGCCGGCGGAAGCTCCTCGGCAGTAAAAAAGTGCGTCCCCAAGAGATGAAGACGTTTTTGGGCACAGGGTTTCCGAAGTCCGGCATCTCGGGGGGTAAATCTAGGGGAAAAAAAAGTGGCATAAACATAAAAACTCGGAGGTCCGCGCGGATTTCTCGGATCGGCGCTGGACCCCCCTCCCTGGAGCGCGGAGCGCGCCAGGGGCGGCGCCGGAGGCGCCGCCGGGCGGCCCCAGCGCTGATCCGAGAAATCCGCCCGGACCTCCGAGTTTTTATTTATGTTTATGCCATTTTTGGTTCCCCTAGAATCGGCCAGTGGGGCCCAGGCCACGCCGCCGGGGACGGGGCTCGGGGCGATGCTCGGTGACCCGCGCGCTGGCGCCGGAGGCGGGCCGAGGGAGACGACGGCGGATCTCCCCCGCCCGGCCCGGGTCCGCTCAGAGGTCGGCCCCCGGGGCACTGCTCGGCGCACGATCGCGCGCGCCGAAGGCACTTTGGAAGTGCCGTCGGGGCGACGCAGGGCCCGACAAAAATGTCGGTGTTTGCCCTCGGGGAAGGCCAAGAGCCGGAGGGTTCCAAAGGGGCTCTTTTGGGGGAGGGTGGTTTTCCAGGAGGGGTTAGGGGAACAAAAAATAGCATAAACAGAAAAACTCGGAGGTCCGCGCGGATTTCTCGGATCAGCGCTGGGGCCCCCCGGCGACGCCTCCGGCGCCACCCCTGGCGCGCTCCGCGCGCCAGGGAGGGGGGTCCAGCGCCGATCCGAGAAATCCACACGGACCTCCGAGTTTTGTATGTTTATTGCGCTTTTTGTTCCCCTAGAGGTCCCCCAGGGGCTTCGCACCCTCTGTTTTGACCAGGTTCTGAGTCCCCTTGAGGGCTCTCTGGAAAACCCCCTACCCAAAACCTTCTTTGGAACCCTCCGGAAGAGGGGGTGATGATTAGAGTCAAGTCGTGCCTGTCCCTCTACAGGAGGAATATGCAAGAATAGTAAAACAAATAATATGGGAACGATAGTTTTAGCATTTTTTGGCGAATTCGGGTGTACGTGCTAGAATTTTTCATTTTTCGCTCAGAATCCGCCTGTAGGGGGACATGCCCGACCTAAGACTGCAGGGAGGGAGGGCGGTGGATATCATGGCGGGGGGCATGATGTTTCCCCATCTTTTTCCCGACCTAGGCTCTGCCTAAAAAGGTTCTTACTTTATATGCTTAAAGGGCCGGGCAGAGTTGCCCGCCCCGGGCGGTTCCCCCGGCATCCGCCCCGCGGTTCCCCCAGTTACGTCCCCTGGGTTCACCCAGCTTAGCTTAGCTTAGCTTAGCTTAGCTTAGCTTAGCTTATCTCATCTTAGCTTAGCTTAGCTTAGCTTAGTTGAGCTTTGCCTAGCCTAGCTTAGCTTAGCGTAGCCTAGCTTAGCTGAGCTTATATCATATTAGCTTAGCTTAGCTTAGTTTAGCGTGGTTTAGCTTAGCTTAGCGTAGCCTAGCCTAGCTTAATTTAGCTTAGCTTAGCTTAGCATAGCTTCACTTAGCTTAGCTTAGCGCAGCGCAGCATAGCGCAGCGCAGCATTAGCACAGCATAGCATAACATAGCATAGCATAGCCAAGCATAGCATAGCATAGCATAGCACAGCATAGCTCAGCATAGCAAAGCATAGCATAGCATAGCGCGACATGGCATAGCATAGCATAGCATGTCATTGCTCAGGCGCAGCATAGCATAGCATAGCATAGCATAGCACAGCATATCATAGCATAGCATAGCATAGCGCAGCATAGCGCAGCATAGCATATCATAGCATGGCATAGCGCAGCATAGCATATCATAGCATATCTTAGCGCAGCATAGCATATCATAGCCTAGCATAACACTGCGCAGCCGAGCGTACCCTAGCATATCATAGCACAGCATAGCACAGCATAGCAAAGCATAGCAAAGCATGGCATAACATAGCATAACATAGCGCAGCGTAGACGACATGTAGATGCAGGTGTAGATGTACATGTAGCTGTCGGTGTAGATGTAGATGCTGCTTTCCTAAATGCTCCAACTCTTAGGTAGGGTCGCACTGGGATAATATGGCGCCTCCTCTGATTTCAATACGTCTCTGGCCCCCCCCCCCTGGGTCGCGCACATGCCGCCGGCCATTAATTGCGCCCCCCCCTCTCTCGGACACCCCCCTCCTGGCCGCCGCCGAACCCCTCCTGGGGTCCGTCATGACAGGTTTTTCGAGGTGGGTCCAGTCTTGGCTGCGAGAAGCCGCCTGGCGCTCCAGAGAAGACGAGCAGAACGCCAGGGAGGGCCGCCGTTGTCCCGAGCTGCCCTCCTCTCCGATTGTGGCCACGTTTCGACTGTGTGGTAGCCTTGGGAGTCCTGTCCCTCATCCGAGGGATCAGGAGGGGGAAAAAAACAAACACAGGTAATCGTCGATCCCCAGGAAAAGATGAGGAAATATGGGAAGTTGGAGGGGAAGGCGAACATCCAGAAAGTATGAAAACATGGAAAGTATGGGGGGATCCTGGGAATCGTCTCTATCTGTTTGTGTGTCCCAGGGCCCCCGGAGTCCTGTCCCTCCTCCGAGGGAGTGCGCCCTCCCCCGAGGCCAGGCGTGGGCCGGCCCGGCCGGGAGGCAGCCTTTCTGAGTGCAAGAGCGCTGGCGGCGTGCTCGCACGTCACGCGGTGCGGCGCGCTCACGCGTTCCGAGAGGGGAGCGCGCACCGATCCGTGGAGGGTTTCTCCGAGGTGCTTAGGCACAAC